CACACACACACCCACACACACACACCCTCAAGAGAGATTTTTACTGGATTATACATCGTTGGTGTTAAATTTCATGTTTGCTAGGGGTTTGTGCTATGTTGAACCAGATTCAGCTCCTCCTCTGGGGTGTGGGCTGACTGCTACCTCTGTTGGTGTTTCAAGGCTGAATCTTACACCCCGCACCTCAAAGTGCATGACCGAAGAGCAAGTCTGGCTTCTGATATGTGCTGTTGCTTCCACGGAGCTAAGTGAGCTTCCTTCCAGATGGCCACTGCCCTGCTGGACTGTCCCCTCAGAGGAAGTAATACTGCTCTTTATTCTGTCAGGCACTGAACCATTTCACCCACTGAGTCTTTTGCTGGGTCCACCTAGCACCTAGGGCAGTAACCTTACCCAGAACCAAAATACTCTTAAATTCCTCCCAAGTTCTAAAATGGATTTTTTTTCTTCCTGGTTTGCAGCTTTTGCTGGAGATTGGAAGAGGAGAAAAAGGAGAGAAAGAACTGAGAAAACCCTACACGGAACAAATGGGACACCCTTCCCACATCCCCAAACACCCAGTTGAGGATGCCAGCCCCCATGCTTAGGGCCTGTTTAGTTCTAATGCACACAATTCCAGGATGTAACAATCACCTGCAGTAAGTAACTGGATGACAGTAAGTAACCTAAGACTCTGGTGCTATGTGAGTGGTTTGCCTATGAGCCAAGATGAGGATTCTATGAACCAGAGCCTTCCCCTAAGACTCTCCCTTCACCATAACGGTACCTCAGAGACAGAAGCAATCTCTTTTTTTACTTCTAGTAGCTCTTCTAAGATACAGCTTTAAAGATCTACTGACTCCCTGGCAATAATATACAATTTCCTTTTAAAACTTGCCACCGTGCTATCCCTTAAAAATGGGGTTCAAGGGCTGCTACTACTCCATGGTGGGTATCGGGCCCTGCTTGGTATTTTTGTTCAAGGAGAGCTGATATGTTTGTCACACCAAGGTTCGCAAACACAGTGTACCAGGTGACACTCACCCTTCCTAATCCAAAGGAAGCATTCTCCCTAGCCCAGTAAATGAGCTCAGGAGGCACCTGGACAAGGCAGACTCTTGTGGCTGGCTTAATGCCAAGAATGATGTCAGAGAAAGGTCATTTTTATTCCCAGGGGTAGGATGGGTAGTTAGGGGCAGTTATTTTAATAAGAGGGATATTTCCAGGGTATCTCAAAACTCCATAACAAGGATATAGAAAACTGTCACATCCCTGCAATCAAATAAAAATCACCACAAAATTCAACAGGATGCCAGGAAGTAATCAGATCAGCCCTGTAGCATTTCCAGAGCTCCTCCTCTGTCTCTACTACCCCTCTGCCAGCATAGTTTCTGAAGCAGGTGGCTCTACTCCTTAGAGTGGGTCATCAGCATAGAAAAGTTGGTCTGAGGACACCTTACCTAGAGCTTTTATCTACCATCCTGTTAGCCATTCACATGCTGCTCCCACTTAGAAAACACATACCATCTCCCTCTACCTCAGGACTCCCCAAGGCTCTTAGGCAGAAGAGTGGTCATGTGACCACTGGGCAGGGGCTGTGCCCTCTGCCCCACCAGGGTCCAGGGTATGTCAGCCTCCAGAAGGCAGCGTGGTGCACCAAGGCATTATGCATTCTGGGCCATCACCTGATCCTCCTACAATCACTTTGTGCAAAATTGAAACAGTGTGTGGTACTTGCATGTTTCACTCTATACAAAAATTCTCCCACCCTCCCCTACCCCTATGTGTTAAACATTTATATAAATTCTTATTTAAACAGTAAGTTAGAAATCTTATTTACATTAATTTGTTTGTTCTCCCAAAAGAGCATCTAAAATCACACTCCCACCCCGTAACAGGATATAAATGTTCACCTAAATTGGTTTGTATTATTGTTTTAAGGAGAGAGAAAGGGAGAAGAATGAACTGCCAGCTAAACTGTTTCCCCGTCTTCTACAAATAAATACGATACGGATCAGAAGCCAGTTTGCCAAGGGTCTTGCAGAGCCCTCAATCAAGTACATCCCAAAAAATACGTCAGGGTTTGGGTCATTTCTCCTTTTCTCCAAATTGATGCACTCCATCCTTTGAGGTATGATTTATTTTTGTTTTTCTCTTCTCAGTCATGTGCCACATGGAGCCTCTGGGGTGTCACCAAGCACACGAGGCTGTCAAAGTTTTGGGGCTCCTCTGGTACTGGCATCAATGGCCAGGAAAGGAGAGGCCTGCAGGTGCTGCAGGCCCTGGTTCAGGGTCCCAGCCCTGGCTACTGTAGGTGTCACAGTGCATCCTCTTCACTGCAGCCTCCGCCGATCATGAAACGGAACTCCTGGAGATTTGAGACCCCATGGAAGTGAACGAAAGCGCCAGCAACCACAAAGATGTGGAATAGCTGATGAGAGTGAAACTGGAGGCAAAAAAAAAAGAGAGGGGTGGGGAAACCCATGCATTATTAAAAGTCTGCTAAAGGTTCTTAAGATCATTTATGCTGAGCAGAGGGCAAGAAATGGATGTGACAGAGCTCAAATTTGAGGTGTCCACAGGTCTTGGGATATACATTAGGCATATCATATTCTGCTGAACTGAAGGCTAGCTGTCCCCAAAGAAATCAAGATGCTGCCGCTAAGGTCTAGACATGAAAATGTGCACACTTAACAGTGGATTATCTGGTGAACTCAGGGACAAATGATGGACACAGACTCTCCTGCCAAGAGATCACAAAGACCCCAACGATCCCCTAATGTCTAGCAGTGGGCTACAGGTAGACAGAAGGGCATTTTCCTTCTTGCTGATGGATGTTTTTGTCATGGACTGAAGCACCTGAGCTATGGTCATTCAAATGTTAGAAAATGCACTCTATTAGAAAACCTAAAGGGATTTCCAGGATCGGGTACAAGGTCAAAACATACAGTGGCTAGAGTTTTTCCAGCTCAAAGGCTCTGGAATTACACAAACAACGTACTATATTGAAAGAATAGGAAAGCAGGACCTTTTACTTCCTTCTCAAGTCAGAAGCTGGCCTACAAATGTGTGATATTATCTATTTAACCTACTCTATAGAATGTTCAAAAGGGGTTATCAAATGCTCAGTGCACCAACCATTACTTCAACATCACACTATCCTGCCCAGCTGGCACGGCTCAGTGGTTGAGCATCAACCTATGATCCAGGAGGTCATGGTTCAATTACCAATCAGGGCACATGCCTGGGTTTCGGGCTTGATCCCCAGTAGGGGGTGTGCAGGAGGCAGTCAATCAATGACTCTCTCATCATTGATGTTTCTCTCTCTCTCCCTCCCTCTCCCTGAAATAGACATATTAAAAAAAAAAAAAAAAAAAAAATCACACTATTCTCTCATTATAGTCTCAAAATTAAAAAGTACAGCAGCAAAAAAGGAAAAGAAAAAGTACAGCAGCAAAACAGTATTTATCAAGGAAAGACACTGATTTTGGAGTGTAAACTAGGTCTATAAGTCACATCCATAGTGATGTTTCCTGGGAAACCAAAGGAGACTCATTTGTCCCTAAAAGGAGAAAAGGTAAAAATCTCTCCATATCAATGTCAAAATTATGAGGAGGCAATCTTGAAGAGACAAATTAGCTAATTTGAAGCTCAAAAGATTGCCTAAATTAGTATTATCTTCATTTTACAGATAGCGAAACTAAATTTTAAAGAGACTATATATAATCAATTTAATCTATAACAACCAACAACAGGTTAAGGAACAGAATTCCAGAGGTCAGACTTCATATCAAACACCACTCCAATTCTGACTGTTGGAAAAGTTTCAGGCCATCTTCTGTTATAAAATTTTCCATCTACTGGTCTCTTATATGTTCTTTGCCTCTTCTCTTTCCTCCTCTCTTACCATTAACTGTAATCTAGTTATCTCTACCTCCCATTCCAACCAAACACATATACACACTCATTCTCTCATTACAAGTCACTAAATTTGGTGATCAAAAAGGACCTAAATAAAAATCTGGCCCCAAAGGGTGCATTGGTAGAAATCTGTTCCATCACCATCATTTCATAAATGAGGAAGCTGAGACAAAGAATGACTAAGTCACTTGCCAGTACAGTGCAGTATACAGGAGCACAGACTCTGATATTAGGCTAGCCTGATTCAAATTCTACCCCTACCACTGAACAGCCAGGTGCACTGGACAAGTTACCCATCTCCCTAAACCTCATTTCCTACTCTGCAAAACAGACACGTTAATAACAGCTGTTATACCTGCTAGGGCTAATATGTTATATGGGTAATCTGTGTGAACTGCTCACTCAGTCCTATGCCAGGCACCTAGTAAGTGCTCAATAAATACAGCTATTATTGTACTTATCACCCAGAGAAACACAACTCATGAGGAAGAATTAGGACTAGAATACACACCTGTCAGGTTTTGAGTCTAAAACTTTTCCAATTATTTCACTTCCTAGTCTGCAAATAACCCACTAAGAGATAAGTATGTATACACAATAGCCACTCTGATCACACTTACCCAGATGTCACACTTGCCAGGAAAGAAGCGTTCAGGGATGCGGGCAGCATACAGAGCAGCCCCCGTGATATAGAGGCTGGCCATCAGCATCAACCAGCCAATCTGTCCTATGGTGGCAGCCTTCAGGAACCCCTCCGAGATGACATAGTGCAAGGCAGGAATGATTCCACTCAGGCCTAGGCCCAAAAACACTCCTAGGAATCACACAAATAAAGCAAAAATACAGAAGAGAAATAAGGAACAAGAAATAAATACTACAGCACAGAACCAGTAATTCTGTAAACTAAATACTTCAAAGTAGAATGCAGTATTAGCTTCTAGTTTGAACAGAAAAAGGTTCTTCAAATCTAGGATACTGCCACCGGAGACAGCACAGCTATGTTCTAAGAGACAGATCTATTTACAAATGCAAGGAGCCTCCTGCTGAGAGAGGCTTAGCTTAAGGAGTCAGCAGTCCTCAAAGCATGTTGTGAAGTATTTTAGAAATAGACAGCTCTAGGAGTTTGTTTAAACCTCCTTAAATTCTGCCTCTTTATAGACACAGGTTGTAATACAAAGCAATTTTACACATTTTATCTTCCCTTTAAAGCAACAGATATTCTGAGGTAGAACTGGGGAGGGAATGAGAGAGTGAGGTGAGGGTGAGGAAACAAAAGGTAGTTATTAGTTCTGATGAATCCCCAAACTATTTTTGGGAACCACAGCTAGAACTACACTCACCTAGAGGTTTATCCCTCCAAGCCTAAGAAAGAGAGATAGAGATAGATGATGATAGATGATGATGATGATGATGATGATAGATAGATAGATGATAGATAGATAGACAGACAGACAGACAGACAGACAGACAGACAGATAGATAGATAGATAGATAGATAGATAGATAGATAGATAGATAGATATAGATGATACATAGATACATAGATAGACAGATAGATAGATGCTTCTGAAAGTTCCCAGGCCCAAAAGTACCAATCAGGTACAGAAGTCTACAGAAGTCTATCAGAATCACTCCACCAAGCCCTACCTACTGCCTTCAAAATCATCTACAGCAGTGTTTTTCAAACTTCTGGATATGACCAACTAAGTGAGTCTGGATCAGGATTTTTTAAATGAACTAAAAATAACAAATATCAGACTGTGTCTCAAGTGGAGAGTTAAGCACTAATTTGTAAAAGTTTTATAATTGCTATTTGTCAATTTGTGTGTGCATGCACATGTGTGTGCATGTGCGTGCATCCATGCAGGGTTGTAAGAGAAAAAAAATGTCATGATTAAAAAAGTTTGAAGGCAACTGATGTAAAACCACTTTGAAATCTGTGTCAACCAAAGCACCACATGAACTCCCTGCAAGAGCTCTAACTGCTCCTACATTTTTGACACAAAGACTTAAGAATGACTCTTGTAAAACAATCACTTGGTAAGCTTTCTCAAAAGAAAGGGGCATACTGCTTGCTTCAGACATTACTACAGAAGCTGCTGGTATGCAACAATATATGTATGCACACATGCATGTTCATTAATAAAACGGACATCAACAGAGAAGAGGAAAATGGCAACGCTCATCTCACAAAAGAAAGAAATCAAGCAGGTCTAAATAAAACTACTTCTTACCTCCACTCCTCACTAAAGAAAAATCACTGTGACCCTGTTCTTTCACTTGTTTTCTTCCTCTACATGCTAAGCAAAGGCTACCAATGGTCTTGCCTGTCACTGTCTCAGTCAAAGCTCAGGAACATGCTCTTCTGATGTATAAACAGCAGGATGTCCAGCTCTACTCAGCAAAGACGTTCTTATCTCCTGTGCTCAAGCAGGCATAACACCACAGTGAGATACTACTGAAAGCCAACCCTGACCACTGCTCGTTTGCTCATACAAACACTTAAACAAGGAAGAGGACAGAGTGTTACAACAAGGTCAGTTCTAACTCCTAATCTTCTAGGTAACTGCAGATGAACCATGTCTTAAATTTTAAATACTCAACAAGTTGTTTAAAAAAAAAAAAAATTGAAAGGAAAAATACTCCATTTAATACTTCTTATTCATTCTCAGTGGGCACTGGGTTTGATACTGGGAATAGAAAATTCAAGACACAGCCTTGGCTATAAGGAGTCCCCAGTCCAGTGGGAGACAAAAACCTGTCTCTGTTAGCCCTGTAACTTCTGTACTCCTACAGGAAGGTTCACCCAAGGTACTCAAAGGCTTCTGGCTTTCCATATGATCTCCAGCTTAACAGACATTATCCTAAAAATAAAAGGCCTCTTTATCCCTACATCACAAGAGATGTATGGTGCCTACAATAATAGAACACAATCAGTATGAAGTCTTACTTAGCTAAGCAGATTACACATTTTAAAATAAATATACAAAACAAAAATGATAACACCAAAAATACACCTCATGCTGAGAGTAAGAGGAATCGCTGTTTATTTTACAAAGGTTACAGAGCCCGTCTTATTGACAGTGTACGGCCATATACTCAAGTGAACTACACTGCCCCAAACACACTGGCTCACGTAGCTTACCACTGTTCCTCAACTCTAATGAACAATACATTAAAGCCCCTCAAGAGGAGGAGCAATGATTTATTCATCTCTGCATCACGAGTACACAGCATAATGCTTAGACAATGGTAGGCCTTTAGTAAATGACTGGTAAATAAATAACTGTTCAATGTAAAACCTCCATGTGCTCTTACCTGCTCGTACTCCTCGATACTGGGGGGTGGCAAACATGTCCCACTGGGAGACTATAATGGCTGCGATGCCCAGCACACAGATGACAATCAAGTAGATGAAGCAAGGTTGTGGGTTACAGTAGAAAGAATAATAAAGCCAAGGAACAAAACTTCCCATGATCAGAAGAGCAATACCAGAGTAATCCAGTCTAGGACAGAAAAAAAATCCATTTAACGTTAAAAATCACTGCTTACTACACGTTCACGTTAATCCCCCATGACATGAGCTAGCAATGACAGCTAAGAGGCATACTGGGGTGCTTGCTTTAAGTCTTTTTTTAAACTTTCTATGAGAGGACATTAATTCTGCCAGCTCTGCTAGACATTTTTCACTAACCCACTGACTCTAAATCATTGATCAAAATATAGACTTCACAGATACTTACTTAGAGAAGAGTCGGGAGACCCCTTCTGAGTGGCAGTAGACCGTGTGGAAGAGCCATGAAAAAGAAAGGCAGAGAATGGCCCCCAAGAAGAATAATCCAAAGACCACCTTCTCTTGCAGAGGGGCCACAAAGAAGATGTTTGGGCGAAACATATAAAAGATCCCCAGGCACAGGAAGAATACACAACCTAGGAAAAAAACACAGGGGAGAGAGAAAAGATTTTCCTTTTGAAGAGACAATGCTATGTGTTACTTATGTTTTCAATCCTTCACAATCAAAATGATAACTGGATTGAAAGTTCCACGAGAAAAATTTTCTAAATAACTGAAGCCTATCCAAAATTTTGGCCACTTCAGACATTGTTGGCATCATACACTTCTCAGCTTCATAAACTGAGTACACAAAATATAATCACTTATTTGTCTAAGAGCATAATCCAAAAATAAACCATACAATGCTTCTACTCTTAGAAAACTGCATCAGTCCACTTCTGTCTCTAGATCTAGTATGAAATTTCATTTATACCATTTTTTGGGCACATTTACAGTACAGCTTTCAAGGTCCATTTTGCATTTGCTTTTGCAATAAATTCCAATACCTCCAAACCCTGCCAAGAAATACAGCTTTCCTCCACCAATAGCTGTCAAGGAACACTATGCTTCTCTGGTCCTTACCACTTGGCCCAATATTCAAGAATTAAGGACAGTAAATGCCTATACAGACTATTTGATAAACAATTTTTACACTGTTCTTCACAGTAAGATGTCATGTTCTTACTGCTTAGAGAAGAGTCACTTAACAAAAGGAAGGCATAGATATTAAGAATTTAAACATTTGCTAAGTGATTCTGTTTGATCTATTTCATAAAACATTTACCCTGGAGTTAGACGTCAACAACAAACTTGATTTCATTCTCTGTTCTATTCTCACTATATTAGCAAGGTAGGAACATGGGGACACAGTGGAAATCAAATGTGACAAGAAATGCAAGTCAAATGGGATATGGCCAGAAACTATTTAGTATACAATTGTTCTCCCCTTTATGCAGTTTCACTTTCTGTGGTACAGTTACCCATAGCCAACAGTGGTCTGAAAATATTAAATAAAAAATTCCAGAAAAAAACAATCCATAAGTTTTCAATTGCACACCACTCTGAGTAGCATGGTGAAATCTCAAGCCATCCCGCCCCAGGTCATGAATCACCCGTTTGACCAGAGTGTATACACTTCCTGCCCATTTGGTCCCTTGGTAGCCGTCTCAGTTATCAGATTACTGGGGTATGTACGTGTGTGTGTATCACATTCACATAACTTTTATTATAGTATATTGTTATAATTGTTCTATTTTATTAATTATTATTGTTAATCTTTTACTGTGCCTAATTTATAACTTAAAACTTTATCGTAGGTATGTATGTATAGGAAAAAACATGGTATATATAGGGTTTGGTACTATATGTGGTTTCAGGTATCCACTGGGAGTCTTGGAACATAACGCCCTTGGATAACAGGGGACTGCTGTATTCACAAGGTTATGAAATTATCACTACTATTAAATTCCAGAACATTTTCATCACCCCAAAAAGAAGCCCTATATCTGTTAAGAGTCATATTTCATTCCCCAATCCCCACCCCAGACAACCACTAATCTACTTTCTGTCTCTGGATTTTCCCATTCTAGGTATTTCATGTATATGGATCATATATAATATGTGGCCTTTTGTGCCTGGATTCTCCACTTAGCATGTTTTCAAGGCTCACTCATGTTGTAGCATGTATCAAGTAATATTTCACTGTATGGATATACCACATTTTATTTATCCATTCATCAGTTGATAGATTTTGGGCTGTTTCCACTTTTTAGCTATTACGAATAATGTTGCTAAAAACATTCGTGTACTCATTTGTCTGTTTTTTGTGAACATGTTTTCAATTCTCTTGAATATGTGCCTAAGGAGTAAAATCGCTAGTAATTCTGTTTAACTATCTATCTGAAGACCTGCCAAACTGTTTTCCATAGAGGCTACACCGTTTTATATTCCTACCAGCAATGTATTTGAGTACTAATTTTTCCACATGCTTGCCAAGAGTTCTTATTTCCCATTTTCTTAATTACAGCCATTCTAGTGAGTATGGTGTGGTATTTCATTGTGTTTCTCAAAGTATTTGATCTGCATTTCCCAAAATGACTCATGATGTTGAGCATCTTTTCATGTGTTTGTTGGCCATTTGTAGATCATATTGAAGAAATTACTATTTAGATGCTTTATTCATTTTTTAAACTGGGTTGTCTTCCTATTGTTTAGTTGTAAGAGTTCTTTAATAGACCATTATCAGATATATATTTTGCAAATATTTTCTCCTATTCTGTGGGTTACCTTTTCACTTTCTTGATAATGTCCTTTGACATACAAAACTTTTAATTTTGATACAGCCCAATTTATCCATTTTTTAATTTGTTTGCATATGCTTTACGTGTAAAAGCTAGGAAACTGTCATGTAACCCAAAATCACAAAGATTTATACCTATGTTTTCTCCTAATGATTTTATAGTTTTAGTTCTTATGATTGTCTTTAATCCATTTTGAGTTAATTTTTGTATATGGCGTGAGGTAGGTGTCTGGCTTTATTCTTTTACATGTAGTTACTAGGTTATCCCCAATACCATTCTAGCTCTTCTTTAATATACAATCATGATGGAAAAAATACCATATATCACATTCTACTTTAAGTCAAACTGAAATGTAATTGTGAATATTTGAAGTAATGACTTTGAAAAAACAGTTTACTTCTATTCAATAACTACCTTTTTCTCAGTGTTCATTAAAATATTATACCACATTTTGTATAGTACCTTTCTCTTGGCCTGGTTCAAACACTGTCTGAAAATCCAGTAAAGAAAAATATGACTTAGCTGTAATAAAATCATAGTGCAAACCACAGAAACTGCATCATCAGAAATCCAGAAAACAAAATGGCAAATCCCAAATACATTTTTAAGTTCCATCCTTACCATCAAATAAATGGGGGTAAAAATTAATAAAGATCAATTCATTACACCACTGCTATTACATACCTAAGAGATGTGTCCAGATGTTGCCTGTCTCTGTGTGTATTCTGAAAATGCTCTTAAAACAGGCCCGGAAAGAAGGCATAGGGGGCCGGTGTCCATGTAAAAGGTAATCATTATCCTTGAGCCAGTCTGGTAGTACATCATGAGGGATTACTCGCCATCGACCTTCCCAAACCTAGAAGAAAAATATTATCAAATCCTTTGTGGTTTTAATTGTAACTTTAGCAACATTGGTCCCAAATAACAATCTCTTTACATTTTCATATGAGAAAAATAACTTGTTTTTAGAAAGACAAACTCATTCAAAATTTACAATGTCCCATATTCTGATTTTTTAAAAACCAGACTAATCAAAAAGATATTTTCTAAATGGGGGAGCTTTTCTTAGGAAAGGGGAAGAGTAAATGCACTTATAGAACATGCACTAAAGAGTGGTTTCAAACTTTGTTTCATTCTGACTAAAAGTAGGGTGAGGGGTCCAAAGTCCCACCCATACAGATTCCCTTCTGTCCTCCACAACAGACTTTACCTCTGAAAAATCCGTGATAGTAAATATGATCATTTTTATACTTAATATTCCTGTTAGTGAAAAAAGAACTATATAGAATCATACTTTTGTGCCTTTTGCTAAAATCTCTTTCTCCCTTTACTCTTTCTTCTCTTCCTATCAGAGCAAATATGATGAAGTAGAAAAGAAAGAACAGAGGAGTCAGAAAATCTTGGATGTCTGGCATTAACTAGTTGAATGAGCTTTAATCACAAAATCACCAAGCCTCAGTTTCCTCATTTATAAACTGGGGATTATAGTGCTTCGATTACTTCATAAGAAAGTTATGAGGATCAAGTGAAATGACTCAAAGCACTTAAAAAATGAGTTAGCAAAACCCAACATCCACCCCAAAGGTGGTATTAACCCTAACCATCCCCAGAGGCTATCACTTGTCTGCAAATCAGTAACAAATCCACCCTCTTCATGCTGGAGAGATGACAGAGAAGTTTGGCCTCAACTGCCTTTCAAGCCCCTTCGCTCCCCTTGCTCCCTTTTCCTCACTGTCCCTCCCTATCACACTCGAAAGGAAAAGGAATCAGAAGTTTGGTATATCCTCTTTAAAAAGTTTGCAGCAAAAAAAAAAAAAAATGCCCTATTTATTCTCTCATTAGCTGTTACATTGAAAGTTTTATGTACTTTATTCTTTATTTTTAGTTCAGAAAGAGAACAAAAAGGCAGTGAGGTTAACTACAGTACCCCACTGATAATATAAATATTAAAAATCCCCAGTGGCCCAGACACTAAATACATACTCAAGTTTGAGAGAATGAACATCAATGGGTTGCCTCCTGTACACACTCCAACTGGGGATCAAACACACAACCTAGGTACGTGCCCTAACCGGGAACTGAACCCAAAACCTTTTGGTATACGGGAAGATGCTCTAACCAACCGAGCCACCCAGCCAGGGCCTAAATGTGCTTTTTGATAAACAAAATATATCTTTTGTATCCTTCTGTGCTAATTCTCCTGAGTCAGCGATCACTAGAATAGATCTATTGTTTTGCTTGGCTTTTTTTCCACCAATTTTCAAACACTGATTAAAATTTCCTGGGCTCTAAGTAGACCCATAAATGTTTATACTCCTTCCCCATCCCTCTCCACCCATTTTGGAAGGGATGCCTATATTAGGATTATAATGTTTTCTTCTTGTCCTCCGGTATAAAGTACAATATTCTAAGTCAACTGACCCCAATTATTTCTACTGTCACTCTGAATAAAGAAAAACCTAAGTTTAGTTTTTAGGATCTATGACCACATGCATGAAAAGTCTTGGTTTCACAAAACCCATGAAAGAGCTGAGCACAAAAATTTCTCTGTAAATGTTCAAGAGATTTCCAGGAATGTTTAATATGTAAATGAACTTACTTACACATATGCACAGACAACTGACTTATGTTGACTTTAGTTCATACCTGCCAGGGCCCTGACTGATCAGATTAATCAAATGGTGATAGATTTACCAGTGTCCCTGACCTATTTTCTCTAAGCAAGCAATCGCAATTCCAGTTACCATTTCAGAAAAGAAAAAAAAAATCCCCACAATAGGTCCTAATGAATCAGAAAGTGAATTGGAAGAAAAAACTTAAGACAGAAAATATACCAGCTAAACTGAAAACACTAGACACGTGTGTGAAAACCAGGCAATTCCTATCTAAAGAGTCATCTGATGACCCACAGAATCCCTAGAAAGAGTAGCAACTTGCCATCACAGTCAACAGCAGAAATAGATTCAAGGGACTTGGAGATGGCATCTTAGTATCTCCAGGCATTAACCACTCCCAATTTTGTTTCACCCTGCCTTGTCTAAATTATCAATAACCTATATTAGGAAAGATTTGTTTCCCAGTTGGACATTCCAGTTTCTCAAAACTTTACCATTGCTGCTACAGGCCAATGTATTATGCCTTGAACGGGGTTAAAGTCATGAGATTGCTTTTGTCTCCATTTTGCCACAGATTATCCCCAAAGCAAATCAAAGGGTAAGATATTACCACTCTCCTTAAAGGTTTCTGTTTGGGAAGGGTGGATCATATAACACAAAAATGACAAGAAATTGCCATCATACCTTACAAACAAACTCTTCCATTCTTTCCATAGCATGATGGGCTTGTAAGAGAGGGGACATGCCCATAAATCCATCCTCTTCCTGAGAAACTTCATCATTACAGTCATGTTCCTCAGAGCTCTGCAAGGCAATCAGAGAAATAGTTAGGGATAGAGACTGGGGCCAATGAAAAAAATCAATACACTTTCCTTGAAGAATTATAATGAAATTCTCTTAAGGTCAAAACAAGGCCTCAAACAAGTAACAATACAGGAAGTAAAGTCAGTTTATTATAGAATTATGAGTATTAAAAATGAAAAACAGTTACTCAAGTTTTCTCTGACAAATGAACTATAACAACAGCATTCCTTTGTTTGTTTCAGTACCAAATTCCTGGAACATGAATGGTTTGGTTTTTGTTTTAAGAATTATATTCACAGACCACATAATACTATTAAAGTTACAGAGGAATTACTGAGTTGAAAATCTCCAAGAACCCCACCTGGTTACATATAAAATAAATAATTGTAATACAATGTGCTCTAGGGAAAAAGGAGAAAAAAACATTTACTAAATTCTTAAAAAATAATGCTAAAAAATAGATAAGGATTAAATAAAGAAGGGGAGCATTTCTTTAAAATAAAGAAAGGGCTTTATACAGGCTATCTACCTTAATGCTGACAACCACCTTATTAGGTAAGTGTTCTTATCTAATTTAACATGTAAAAAAAATTAGGCAAATAGGTTAAATAGCTTGCCTACGGTTAAAACTGGTAATGTAAAAAAGTAAAGTCTTTCCCCATTCTTGAAGAAATGATCAATTTGTCTAAGAAAATGGAGGAAGAAATGCCAATCTGGTAAGACCTTAAGGGATAAATCACTAAAATTAAGATTTGTTGCCAGATCAAGCTTCATACTAGTTTAGAAAGGAAGATATTTGTAAGAAGGGAAATGGACTGAGATAAAAGTCAGGAGACCCAAGTAGTAAGCCTGTTCTGCCACTAATTTTGATCTTTAGACAAGTCTCTCAACCTTTCTGAGCCTCAATTTTCTCATTCTATCTAAAAGGAGTTTAAACTAAACTTCTACAGCCTCCTCCATTCTCTCAAGTTCTGAGATTGTGTAACTCAATGACTAATGACTGCACGAGAGAACTGTAATTCCACATCTAAGAGTCCATTAGATGAATAGTACGACTAACATGACTTCATAAAGAAATGAACTGATCTTCCACCTCCAATCAGAAACAAATTGGTAAGGATGAACATGCAGAAGTAATAGATAATCTACCACAACACCCAAATTTGCATGTTTAATAAGAAATTCTAAGATTTTATTTTTCTACTCTTTACTTTCCAAGATAGTTAGAGGCTATCAAGCTGTATGTCAGACAAGTTACACACCCAATCTCAATTTTTTTTTAAATCATGTTCTCAAAGAAATCTATCTTGAACTGATTCTCTACACTCTTAACAATAAAATGCTCCCCTTCTTTATTTAATCCTTACCTATTTTTTTTAGCATTATTTTTTAATCCTCACCCAAGGATATGCTTTTATTGATTTTAGAGAGAGGAGGGGAGAGAGGAAGAAACAGAAACATCGATCAGTTGCTTCCCTCCCATACGCACCCAGACCAGGGATCGAACCCACAATCTAGGTATGTGCCCAAACTAGGAATTGAACCAGCAACCTTTGGGTTGCTGGCCAGGGCACCTATCTATCATTCAGTGCCTCTATCCCATCATGTCTCTTGTTTAAAACTCTTCCTTAATTACCAGCCTAGCTGTTCTCAACCTTTCTTTTACGGCTTCCACCACCCCACCCCCACCCCACCTCTAGCATTTTTTGATTGCTTCTCCCATCCCCATGAAATTTTAACAACACAGATATACTATATATCTGTTTATGTGCTGTGGCCCTTTGGAAGGATACAAAGCACTGTATTATTTAAGAGTTCTTCACTCCTTACAAACGAGAAACAATTTTCACCAGAGAATGTATACCCTACCTAACCCTCCTCTCTTTAGCACTTAAAATTTGTACCCCTCACTGGACAACTAATAAAATCTCTGATAACAGCTTGTTTTATTGACTTACACTATTTTATTTAATGTTTAACAGAGTTTTACATTTTTAGTATATCATTTCCTAAATTAGATTTTAAGTTAAGTGTCTGTCTTCTTCCCATGGCACTCAGAACAGCAATATTTTATATACTTACACAGTAGCTAAATTAATGCTTTAAAAGATTTTTTAACAAAAAATTTAAAAGGACTATGTCTAATTAAACAAAAATAATAAAATTCCATTAAAACATCAATTGTATGAAAACTGAATAGACAATAGCTTGAAATGATAAGCAGACCAACTGTAAAGTACCTAATATAAATTCATATATAAAATATAAAATAGCTCAAATATTTATGCATGTTCAACATGTATATGATTATTCACCAAAAAACACACACAAGAACTCAACCTTGATTATCATACAAATTATGGCAGCATTTTCCCATAGACCTACAAATAAGCATATAAAACAGAACCACAGTTAAGTGTTTCCTATATACTATCATAAGTAAAACCTAAGTTGTACACAGTCTGAAATATCAATAGGATTACTTACAACCAGTTCATTTTCAGGCTAAATGTGTTTGGATCCATAGAGGATTGCTGATAGGAAAAGATAAGCCAGCCTTGCTAGCAGAAGAAAGGGCATTTCACACACTTAACCTTAAATTCTGTTACAGATTTAGATTTAAAAAAATGATAGGGTGCCTCTCTCAGTAGGCACTCACCACTACACAAGTCTGTAGGGAAGAGAGAATTGTTCAACCTCCCAATCACAGGGAGGGAAGAGGAACAATGACATTGCTGTTGGAGAAAGAACAGCTTTTGTGTCTTCAGCAGTGCTAAGAGATATTTATTGAAAGAAAACAGAAGTACATTCGAAATGTAGGATGTATAGTTGAGTCAAACACCAGCAAGGGGTCAAAGACTGTTTATCCATTTAATCAAACATGTCTTAGGAAAAGGTGGCTTGCCATATAGAAATTAAGCCTGAGTCTAGCCCAGCTGACGTGGCTCAGTGGCTGAGCATTGACCTATGAACCAGGTCACAATTCTATTCTCGGTCAGAGCACATGCCCAGGTTTTGGGCTTGATCCCCAGTAGGGGGCTTGCAGGAGGCAGCTGATCAATAACTCTAATAATTGATATTTCTCTCTCTCTCCCCCCCCTTCTCCCTTCCTCTCTCTAAAATCAATAATAAATAAATAAAAAGTGAATCTGGCCCTGGCCAGTGTGGCTCACTTGGTTGGGTGTTGCCCTGTGCACCGAAAGGTTGGCAGCTCGATTCCTGGTCAAGGCACATGCCCAGGGTTGTGGGCTCAATCCCCGGTAGATGTGCAGAAGGCATCCAGTTGATGTTTCACTCTTACATCAATGTTTCTCTTTCTTCCTCTCCCTTCCTCTCTCTCTAAAAATGAGTAAACTACTCTTTTAAAAATAAAAATAAAAATGAGTCTGAAGCCGGATAAATTCTGTAATCCTTGAAAGATTACAATCTCTCTAAGCATCAGTTTCCTTATCTGTAAAATAATTTTACAATATTGTACCTACATTGCAGGTCTGTTTTAAGGATCAAAGGTAATAACAGAAATTATCATAGGTCCTAGGACCCAGAAAGCAATACATAAATGATGGTCTTTATTATTATAATGATGGACTAGGCACCAAGAACATTAAAGTAGGTATTACAACCTAATGGAGAAGATATGCATGTAAGTAAACAACTACAGCAATGAGCTGGTAAAGAGTATGAAAAGGGTCTAATGCAAACACAAAAAACAATTAACTCCGGCACTGCTGAGAAATTTTCTAGAAAGGTTAACTTCTGAACCAAGCCCTGGAAAATGCATTCAAGAGTCAAACATGGCTCTAGCCGGTTAGAGCATTGACCTGCGGACTGAGGGGTCCCAGATTCAATTCTAGCCAAGGGCATGTACCTCGGTTGCAGGCTCAATCCCTGGCCCTGGTGAGGGCACATGCAGGAGGCAACCAATCAATGTGTCTCTCTCACATTGATGTTTTTCTCTCTCTCTCTCCTTTCCACTCTCCGAAAAGCAATGAGAAAAATATCCTCAGATGAGGATTTTAAAAAAAATAAAAGGGTCAAACATGACTGGGAAAGGCATGACAAGCAAAGGTAATAGCAAGTGTCCAAATACACAGAGGAAAGAAAAGGCATGACACAAATAATATGCAGTTTAGCATGGATGCGGCAAAAAGTAAATTAAATGTAATGCGAAACTGTAAAAGGCAAGTACAAAATAACCCAAATGTCCGTAAATAGATGGATAAACATGTGGCATCTCTATACAACAGATATGACTGGGCTACAAAAAGAAATAAAGTTCTGACACATGCTACCACATTGATGAACCCCTAAGATGATGCTCAGTGAAATGTGCCACACACAAAAGGGCAAATATTGTACAATTCCACTAATATGAAATACCAAGAAGAGGCAAATTCACAGAGAAAGTCCCTTAGAGGTTACCAAGGACTGGGAAAGGAGAAGGAACAGACGGAGAGTTATTCCTTAATAGGTAGAAAGTTTCTGTTAGTGGTGATGAAAAGTTTTGGAAATAGTGGTAATGGTTGCACAACACTGTGAAGTAATTAGTGCCACAGAATTGAACACTTAAAGATGGTTAGCCCAGCCGGGCGTGGCTCAGCGGTTGAGCATCGATCTAGGATCCAGGAGATCATGGTTTGATTCCCAGTCAGGGCACATGCCTGGGCTGTGGGCTTAATCCCCAGTCGGGGTTGTGCAGGAGGCAGCCGATCAATGACTCTCTCTCATCACTGATGACTCTATCTCTCTCTCTCTCTTCCTCTTTCAATAAAGGTATCTTAAAAAAAAAAAAAAAAAAAAAAATTTGGTTAGAATGGCAAATTTTATGTTATATATTTTATCACAAGAGAATAATTCAAAAACGAAGGTAAAGAGGTTCATAGCAGCATTAGATGGCACTGCCTGGTTTTGCAGATAACAGTCAAAAACCAAAAACAACCCAACTATCTATCAATAAGAAAACCGAAGTGTGATATATTTATATAACAAAACAAAACACT